ACCTCCGACCTCGTGCTCCATCGCCAGCGGGGACACGAAGCCGGGTGACTGGGCCGCGACCGACCGCAGCCCCACCCCGCCCAGCGCTCCCCAGGCCGATACGGGGAGGAAAAACCCCTCCGGGCGCGGGGACAGGTGGCCGGGAGCCGGGGGAACCGAGGGGACCGGCCCCTCGGCCCCTCGCCCCAAGCCAACGCGATGCCGGGAGCGGTGCAAGGGAGGAAGAGCCGAGCAAAAGCTCGACGTGTTGATGGGCCGCGACCGACCGCAGCTCCAACCGCCCCAGCGATCCCCAGGCCGATACGGGGAGGAAAAACCCCTCCGGGCGCGGGTTGATAAGGGTGCCGGCGATTCGGGAAACAAGGAGGGAACCACAGCTTGAAGATAAAGGCTCGGCGATTCGGATCCTGCCTCGCCGGGTCCCACGGGGAAGCGGCACACCCCGCTTTACCCCGGGGGATGAGCCCCAAAATAGGAAGGGAGCGAAGGTTGGAGCATCTCCAAGCCCTGTTGCTGCTGCCCGCGGCAACAAGTTACACTAAAAGAGCCCCCGCGCGGCACAGCACCCCAAAAAAATCCCGGTGAGCAGCCCAAAACATCCCCCCAAAGAGCAAGGAGGGGAGATGAGGCCACCAAAAAGTCGCGAGAAGGGTCCCCGTGGGACGCGGCACCCAGCCCCCATCACTCACGGTGCCTCCAGCCAAAAACAGGGTGATGGTTCGGGTACTACAACCGGAGATGGGAAATCCCCGGCACCGGCTCCTTCCTCCTCGCCGGCTCAAAGCTCAGTCGGGCAGAACGGAGCAGCTGCCCGAGCCGCCACGGCGCTCGTTCCTCCACTAACGAGCCCGCGCGCTGCAGAGCCGGCGTGCCGCGATCACCGGCACCGGGGCGAGCAGCAACGTGGGGTTTCTTCCTCCACCTCTTCTCCTGAGCCACCATCCTTCAGGCGTGCCGGCAGCACTGGCACCGGCTCGGCGCTCTCCGGCACGCAAGCAGGACATGCCGCTGCTCTGGAGGGATGCTCCACGTCAAGGGCACCCCAAAAACCAGCCTCATTGCGGGGAGCGTCTCTCCCGGCAATCGCTTGCTGACCTCCCAGCAGCAGCGTGGACTCTGCCTGGCTCGGAAAAACTTACCGGCAGCAAACCACCTCCGGCTCACGGTCGGCAGTGCTCGGCAGAGGCTGGGATAATTTCGCCGCGATGAGGCTGTTGGAGGCATGAGAAGAGCCCCAAAACCTTGAGGTTGGCGGCACCGCAAGCATTTGTGCGGGGTCTTCCCACCCGACAAGACCCTTAGACCGGCGTGCCAGTCTTAGCCTCCGTTTTGGGGCATCTTGGGCCATTTCACCTTGGTTTTTCGAGCTGGGAAGCAGCGATGGGGGCTTGCATCACTTTAAGTCTGCCCATGAGCAGGGCTGGAGCTGGGTCCCACCCGAAGCACCCCAGGACCCCCGCTGAGCCCCACCACGCACCCAGGGCCAGGTTGGACACCCGGATGGGGACATTCTCCATCTCCCGACGCAGCCCTCGCTATTTTTTGGGCACCGACTCCCTCCCCTTTTTTAAACGCCCGCGTCCATCCTGTAATGCCCGTGCCCCCACGTAGCTGGACACAAGGGAGCAACGACCGTGCAGAAACGGGGGACAGGACGGAGCGAAGGCCCCATAGCTCTCGCCTGTTCGGACACGGTCATCCTTGATAACACCTCTCGCAGTCCTGAGGCCTAAACTTACGTCAAGGGCCTAAAGACCCAGGCTCTGAAACACATTTGAACCCACTGAGAGAGAAAACCTAAGGCGGGGAAGTAAAAGGAGAACCTCGCCCGCATAAAGTTAAAAGTAAAACCAACTTGTGATACCGAGCGCTTAGTTTAGTGATACAGCAGTTACGGCTGCTCATTATTAAAATAAGAGGGAAGGGGAGAAGACGGCGCATTTGAGTAAAAGATAAGACCCAACCAAGGGCTTATCTACCGAGACCACGCGGCAACAAAAGCATAAAGGACGCGGACTGGAGGAGGCTCCTCGGAGCTGGACTGAGATCCCCGAACCGTCTGTGACCACCGGCTTGATCCTTATCGACAGGTCGTATCACCCTCCCTCCGTATGGGGTTGTGTCGTGTTAGGTGTTACTATTTCGCGAACCCGGACGCTTGCTTAAGGATCCTGGCTCTCAATAAACTGTCACCACATAGTACCCGCCTGCCTGTGGAGTCTGAGCAGTGGTCGTTTCCCCCCCCCCCCCCCCCAACCCCTTCTTTTGGTACTATACGGTGCACGACACATCCCCCGGAGCTCATTTTCCACCCGTTGACCACGGTGAAGGAACCGAGAGCTGAAAAGCTTCCCAGATGCAACGTGGTCCTTCCCCACCCCCCTCGTGGCGGGTAAATAACAGGGGGACTCACCAAACAGATCGCCTGCGCCGGGAGATAAGGTTTTAAGTCAACCGGTGTTTGCGGAGGTGGGCAAACTCATGACGGGGAAGCAGTGTTGGAGAAGAATCGCAGCCGGCGACTCCACCGCTGTTACTGCTTCCAGCTGGGGAAAAAGCCACCCACCAGCCAGGGGACAATCGATGAGGCAAATCACCGGCCGGTGGAGGGATCCGTGGCCACCATCCACCTCGTTTTCCAGTGAGGACACGGGGATGGGGAAGGACAGGAGGGTTGCAAACGCATGGAGGGGTTCAGGTAGGACCCAGGATGGTGGAGGCACCTATCCAGCGTTTGGCACTGAAATGATGGAGTAGTTGAGGTGGGACAGGGTTAATCCTCCAAAGCAGGCAGAGGACAACCAGGGATCTACAAATGAGCGGACAACTTGCATCAGCCGTGCTTGATAGATAAGGAACTGGCCAGAGAGCCGCATACAAAGAGTTATAGGCAACATCTCAATGCCCAGGTGGAAACCAGCAACAAGTGGAGTCCCTCAAGGGTCCATACCGGGACCAATGCTATTTATTATCTCCACCAACACCACGGATGGAGCACACCCTCGGCAAGTTTGCGGGTGACAGCAACCTGAGTTGGTAACTTGAGGGAAGGGATGTCGTCCAGAAGGACCTCGACAGGCCAACATGACTTCTTGATGAGCCAACGTGAACCTCATGAAGTTCAACGAGGCCAAACGCAAGGTCCTGCACCTGGGTCGGGGCAACTCCCAGTATCACAAACTGGGGGACTGAGAGCAGCCCCATGGAGAAGGACCTGTTAGGGCGGGTCCAGAGGAGGCCACGAAGATGATCCAAGAGCTGGAGCACCTCTCCTATGAAGAAAGGATGATATAGTTGGGGTTGTCCAGCCCGGAGAAGCGAAGGCTCTGGGGAGACCTTCTTGTGGCCTTTCCATATATAAAAGAGGTTTATAAGAAAGATGGAGGAAGACTTTTTACCAAGACCTGTAGGACAACGGGCAACAGTTTTGAACTGGAAGAGGGTAGATTTCGATTGGAGTTAAGGAAGAACTGTTTTATGATGAGGGTGGTGAGACACTGGACCGGGTCGCCCAGAGATGCTCCATCGTTGGGAGTGTTCAAGGTCAGGCTGGTTTTGAGCAACCTCATCTAGTGGAAGATCTCCCTGCCCACGGCAAGTTGAACTAGATGATCTTTGACAAGGGGGACAAGGGGTCTCCAACCCAAACCATTCTATGACAACCTCCCTGCTCATCCAAGAGCCCTTGGAGGAGAGTTTTTCCCAAAGCCGAGTCAGGGATGGACCCAACGGGGTCTCCCACGGGTGACGAAGATCTCCCACCCCATAGCAGGACATCCCCTGCAAGAGCATCCGGCGTGCGCAAGGGGTTTTCACGATGCCAAGGACATCCCAGCATAGCTCCACACCAGCACTGGGGACCACCCAGTCCCTGCCGGAGCTCCTCATCCCCCACCACCCTCGTGGCACCGGCGGCACGGCTTCCCTGGCACCGAGCAGTGAGGGAGAGGACGATGCCTTTGCCCTGCAAGCGCGCAGCCGCCCTCGGCAGAGCCGGAGGAGCGTTTCCGTTTCGAGAAGAGGGGATTTCAGCGAGGCCAGGCGCAGGTGGCACGGTTTCGCTCCGCTCGGCACGGCTGCGGCTTCACCAGCAATACCGAAAACGCATGGGTCACCACCGGTGCGGCACAGCTCCCACCTGCTCCCTCCCAACACAGCACCAGTCCCACACCGACACACGGTGGAGCACAACCCCCCCCCGTTTGGGGACACCTTCGGTTTGGGGTCCCGACACCACGCCGGGGGGGACAAGGGGTCTCCAAAAAGCCACCGGCTGGACCCACCATCGGGTTTTGCGCCTGTCTGTGGTGCTGAAGCCGGGCAGCGGCGTGTGGATGCCGGCCCGGCATTCGCACCCTCGCTTCTCCTTCCATCAAATCCACGTGTTTCTCATCGTACCGCGATTCCCGTTTCACCGCGAGATGCTGAGAGTTGGGGAACATCTCCGACACCAAGAGAGCAAACGCCCACCGCAAACCGCCCCGGCGCGATGGTGCGACCATCAGGCAAACCAACCGAATCAACCCGAGCATCACCGGGCACACACGAAGCACCGGGAGACGTCCCCGTCCCCCAAGAAGCCACCCCAACGGCGCCGACCGGGGACTTACCGGCCACGTCGTGCGCTTCCAAAGCAACATCAGGCTCCTGGCGGGAGAGCGACGAGAAGAAGTCGGGGTCCTCTTGCAACGGGCGCAGCTCGGCGCCGGAGGGTCCCTTCCCCTCCCTGCTCATCGTTGCCAGATCATCCGCGGCGTAGAAAGCATCTTCCTCGAGCTCCGTCTCCGTTTCCACCGACGTCCCAGATAAAGCCGGGTTCTCCAGGGGCTTTTTTGCATCTTGAAGGAAAGCGGCTCTTCGTTCTTCGCCTTGGGGGCACTCAAGGGCAGGAAAAGTCTCTTTGTTTGGCTCCGGTGTCATTAACAGGGCTCTGCCTCCATCTCCTTGGCGCTCTGAGAAATTAGGGACAGCTTTCTCCATCCCTCGCCGATTGTGCTGTGTCACTCGGAAAAAAACACCGCGCCGGCACTCAGGAGGGTTGGCGGCCAGGGACTGCTGGCAAAATCTACAAGAAATAAGAGATAAAAGAGGAGAAAAAGAGAAAAGAGGCTGGATTTTGCCGAGGTGGAGGAGAAACGGTTGCGGCTCTGCCCATGCCGGGAAACCCAACGGTCTCGGTGTCTCACCGTGGTCACCAAAGCTCTCAGTGTCCCGGAGCCGCGTAAGACATCAGGTCCCATCACTGTCCCCTTGCAAAAATTGATGCCACCAGTAGCCAGCACGGTGCCTGGTCCCTGCCAGAGTCGAAGGACCCCAAAAGGTGCCGCTTCTCCCCAACACCCAGCTTTTTCCCCGCTCCCCCTCTGCGCCGCGATTTGCCGGGGGAACAGCATCCCCTCCATCCCCTGCCACGCACCCCCCAAAAAACCCCAGTCGCCCTCAAATCGATTATTTATCCCCCCAAAAATTCAATCCCGCCATGCAGCGCGGGGAAAGCCACCGGTTTGCACCCCTGGGAGCTCTGCTCCGCCGCCAGCTGCCTCAAAACCAGGGCGGCTGCCCCCAAAACCAGTCCGGTGCGGGTGGGGGTGGGGGGTTTGTTTAGGGATTGATCTGTGCCACATCCTTCCCCTGTATGAATTCAAGCGGATGGGATAAAGTGGTACCTTCGGGCTGGGGGACCCTCGAAGGGTTTGGGGACCCCTCGAAGGGCTTGGGGACCCTTGGGGGGCAACCAGGTATCCGCCACCCAAGTGTGGAACCCCCCACCTCAAAAATAAACCGTCACCCCCAAAACACCTTCCACCACCCGACGCTGCCGCAGCTGCAGGTTAAAGGGTGAAAAATAAAATCGTTGGGAGAAATAAAGGAGAGCGCTCAGGATCCTGATCTCTGCAGGGCGGAGATGCCGGGTCGAATCCTGACCCGGGGCGGGCGGAGAAGGGAAAAATAGGAGGAAAGAGGCGCTGCAAAGCTGGGCTTATCAGCTCCGCCCCCCAAAACACCTTCCACCACCCGACGCTGCCGCAGCTGCAGGTTAAAGGGTGAAAAATAAAATCGTTGGGAGAAATAAAGGAGAGCGCTCAGGATCCTGATCTCTGCAGGGCGGAGATGCCGGGTCGAATCCTGACCCGGGGCGGGCGGAGAAGGGAAAAATAGGAGGAAAGAGGCGCTAAAAAGCTGGGCTTATCAGAGCTCCGCTGGGATAAAGGCACAGGAGGAGAGCGAAGGAGCTAAATTTACCCCGCCGAGGAAGAAGGCAGAGAAGAGACTATAAATACCTTCAAGGTAAAGAATGCAAATGAAGAGGGAATTATTCGAGCTGGCGCAAGAGCAAGATGTTTCCCCGCCCCGGGGCCGAGGGAGGAGAGCGATGGAGCAAACCCCAATGCCCGGAAGCCACAGGATCCTGATCTCTGCAGGGCGGAGATGCCGGGTCGAATCCTGACCCGGGGCGGGCGGAGAAGGGAAAAATAGGAGGAAAGAGGCGCTAAAAAGCTGGGCTTATCAGCTCCGCTGGAGGATAAAGGCACAGGAGGAGAGCGAAGGAGCTAAATTTACCCCGCCGAGGAAGAAGGCAGAGAAGAGACTATAAATACCTTCAAGGTAAAGAATGCAAATGAAGAGGGAATTATTCGAGCTGGCGCAAGAGCAAGATGTTTCCCCGCCCCGGGGCCGAGGGAGGAGAGCGATGGAGCAAACCCCAATGCCCGGCAGCCACCCTGAAACCTCTCCCGTCCCGAAGCAGCCGGTGCCCGTCGCTTCCCCCGGGGGGAACGATGCCCGGAGCCAACATGGGTTAGTTTGCCAATAAGAAGTGAAAATAGAAATTCAATTAAATCAATTAAAAATACGTTGGCTCCAAACGCCGGCATCTTTCTTCCGTGAGGATCGGTTGCTCCGGCTGGCTTCGGTTTGTACGGAGCCTCCTCCAGCGTCGCCCCGAAATGGCACCCGATGCCCACGCCGTGCCGGCGGGATGCTCTCACCCCGAAGAACGGCGCCGCGTCGACGCTTCCCCCAGACCCGGGGGAGGTTTTTGGGGAGCAAATCCCAAATTTGTGGATCTTTTAGGGTTTGCCATGGTGTCAGCTCGGTGCCGGTGGGTTGGGATGAGGGTTGCTCCGCCAGGATGAAGCCACCCGCACCAGCTTACCGGGCGGAAGCAGGGGATCGCGGCGTGACCCCATCTTTAACCACGGTCTGGCTTAAATCCGGTCGGACACACACGGCACTCCCTTTTTACCGCATCTACCATCGTGCCACGGCGGCTCATCCATCGTGCCGGCAGGATGGGAGCCCGGCAGCCGGCACGGCACCGGCGTTTCTCCCGGTGTTTCCCGGCGTGCCGTCAAACGACGAGGAGTCACCCCAAAACACGTTGCCCCGCTGCAAGGGAATAAAAAAAGCACGGCAACGTGCCGGGCGCGTGGTAGCGATGCGCCGGCAAAACTGGCAGGGGACAGGCAGGGGACAGGCAGGGGACAGGCAGCAGCACCTGGGATCCAGGGGGAGAAAAGCCATCGCGGGGGTTTTGCTTTTTAATTGCAGCCGCATCTCGGCCCGGCCGGAGACCCCGGCACATCCCCGAGCCGGCGGGATCCATCCAGGCGAGAATGGGTGGGGGAAAAAAAAACCCCACGCAATAGGTTTCTTTTCAAAAGCTGCGGGGTTTTTTGGGATGCGGGTTTGGTCCGAGCCAACTCCACGACAGAATCTGGCATCCCTCAGGGACCACCGGCTCCTTTCCCCGGCGATAAATCGCAGCATCCCTTCGGCACCGTGCTCGCCCGCCTCGGTCCAAACCTTCGCTCACCGAAACGTGCCTCACCGCGGCCACGCCGAAACCCCCGCGCCGGGAATGACGCCAAATCCCCCACCCGCACCCCGGCATCGGGCTCGGCATCACCCACCGGCACCTCAACCCACCAAAACCCCAATACCCAACCAAACACGAGCCGGCGCAGACAGGGCGGGACATCAGTGCCGCATCCCCCACCTTGCTCACTAAAAAAACCCCAGATTTTTCAAAGTTTTCCCTTTTATTCTTCCCAAAACACGGATCCCCCCGTCCGCCGTGCCGGTGGCGCTCCCTAAAAACCCACCGTCCTCCCCAAAAACCCACTTGGGGTGTCTTCAAGCTCACCGGGGCAGGGGGGGAAAAGGGAGTGGGGGTTTTTCCCCCCCCCCCCGCCGCGCTCTGCGCCAGCACCCTGAAAGACCCGAGCGCTCACCGTAAAGTTTAAAAAGCCTCTTCCCAAGCTCTGCTCGCTTCCCTGCTCGCTTCCCGAGCTCTGCTCGCTTCAAGGGTGGGAGCCGGACTGCGGAAACCCTTCCCCCAGCCCATCGCCCCAGAGCCATGCAAAGGCGGAGCAGAATTGGGACAATTTAAATGCTAAACCGGTTAAGTGGGGACAATCGCTGCCTTCCCTGGAAGTCAAGAGGAAGGGGCCTTTCCCCAGGCCAAACGGCTCCCGGCGAGAGTTCCTGCAGTGGGTCACCCTGCGCCCTTGCCGCACGCTTGAGTCAGGAAGGCTTTGGCTGCGTGTTTTTTTTTCCCCCCTGTGCGGCTGTTTGGGTTTTTTTTTTCTTTTCCCCCCTTTGCTGGGAGAGCAGAGCCACAGCGCAGGAGGACGGTGCCGGTTTTTCCCCCTTCATATTGGATCATGACCAAGCGTGCGGGGTCCGGCACGCTCATGGCACGCTTGAGCCGGGCAGGCTACGGCCGCGTGTTTTTTCCCCCACATGGTTGGGTTTTTTTTTTCCTCCCTGGGAGAAACCTGTGGCAGAGCGAAGCCGCGGCGCAGAACGGCACTGGTTTTTTTTTTCCCCTTCGTGGTGGGTCACAGACAAGCGCGCGGGGTCCGGCACGCTCGTGGCATGCTTGAGCCAGGCAGGCTACGGCCGCGTGGTTTTTCCCTCGTGTGGTTTTTCTTCCTCCCTGGGAGAAATGTGTGGCAGAACAGAGTCGCAGCGCAAAGGGAACGGCACTTTTTCCCCTCTCCGTGCCGGGTCACGGCCAAGCGCGTGGGGTCCAGCGCGTTCACGGCGCGCTTGAGCCGGGCAGGCTCCAGCCATGGGCTTTTTTTCCTCCCTGGGAGAAACGTGTGGCGGAGCGGAGTCGCGGCACAGGAGGACGGCGCCGGTTTTTTCCCCCTCCGTGGTGGTGGTTCATGGCCAAGTGCGCGGAGTCGGCGCGCTCACAGCACGCTTGAGCCGGGCAGGCTACGGCCGTGTGGTTTTTTTTTTCCCCCCTACATGGGTTGTTTTTTTTTCCTCACCGGGCAGAGCAAAGTCACAACACAGGAGGACGGCACTGCTTTTTCCCCTCTCTCTGTGCCGAGTCACGATCAAGCGTGCGGGATCCAGCACACTCCAGGCATGCTTGAGCCGGGCAGGCTACGGCCGTGTGGTTTTTTTCCCCCTGTGTGGGTTTTTTCCCCCTCCCTGGGAGAAACGTGTGGCAGAGCGGAGCCGCGGCACAGGAGGACGGCGCCGGTTTTTTTCCCCTCCCTCCGTGGTGGTTCATGGCCAAGTGTGCGGGGTCTAGCGCGCTTGCGTCGACCAGGCTCCAGCCACGTACGTGGGTTTTCCCCACGTGTTTTGTTCGGGGTTGGGGTTTTTTCCCTCCTCCTGTGGCAGAGCGGATCCACAATGCAGGAGGACGGCACCGGTTTTTCCAGGTGCCAGGTCACGGCCAAGTGCGCGAGGTCCCGCACGCTCCAGGTGCGCTTGAGCCGGGCAGGCTCCAGCCGCGTGGGTTTTTTTCCCCCCCCACACGTGTTTTTTTGGGTTGTTGGTTTTTTTTTCACCCTCGCTGGCAGAGCAGAATCACAACGCAGGAGGATGGTGCTGGTTTTTCCTTCTCCGCGCTAGGTCACAGCCAAGCTTGCAGGGTCCGGTGCACTCCAGGCACGCTTCAGCCGAGCAGGCTGCGACTGTGTGGTTTTTTTCCCCCCTGTGTGGTTTTTATTCCTCGCGTGGCAGAGCAGCGTCGTGACGCAGGACAGCACCAGTTTTTCCCTCTCCGTGCCAGGTCACAGCCAAGTGCACAAGGTCCCGCGCGCTCCCAGCACGCTTGAGCCCGGCAAGCTCCAGCCGTGTGTTTTTTTTTCCCCCCCACGTGTTTGGTTTTGGTTTGGTTTTTTTTTTCCCCCTTGCTGGCAGAGTCGCGATGTAGGAGGGGAGG